AGAAAAACACAGTCATTATTCTTGAAAGCAAATGTTAAAATTTTTACAAAATTCTTACCATTGGGCCAAGATGCTCCAGTGCCTAAAAGTTGAAGAAGATAAAGAAAGATAGAGAGCGAACCAGCATGGTATCCACACTTAGGGGACATCCATATCCCTGTGCTCACAGCCAGCTGGCCTGAGGGAAAGAGCATTCTTCTGCCAAGACTTCTGTTGTGTCAAATGAGCTCCTGCAACATGAGGCCAGTGATTAGAACCCCCCAGTCTCTCTGTCTTTCCTCTCCCAGTATGTCTCTCTCTCTCTCTTCTCTCGCAGACAGTTCCTCTTGCTTCACTCTCTCCCTCAATTTACAGTCTGTTGCAGTTTCACTGCTCAACTGTTGCTGTGACGTAAGACCTTTGATGCAGAGCAAGGGGAAACCTTTAACCCATTCTCTTACCAATGTCATGTTTGTTTATTTGTTAGACACAGTTACTAAGTTACTTCTAAATATTCCTCTGCCAGCAAACCAAGCTGTTGTAGCAGCTTGGAACAAAAGTTGTAAATGTAAAAAACTGTAAATGTAGTTTCTAGAGAAGTGTAGTGGAGTCTTTAATAATACTAATTTAGGTTATAATTTATGTACTGACAACACACTTTTGGGAGAATATATATATAAATAAATAAATATAATAAATTGGCACCATTTCACTGGTCAAGCAGATAATGGGATGTGGGAATGTATTCTACAAATGACTGACTTTGAGAACTCTCTTTCATTGCCTCTCTCTCTCTTTCTCTCTCTCTCTAACCCCTCCCCCATCTGTTTCTCCATTTGACTGATCCATTTGGATTATTTTCTTTACATGTAGACTTTCAGTCTTCTGCTGCAACTTTCACTTTTGATATGAGAAAAATATTTGTGATTCTCTAAGGTTGGTGTCACAAAGACAGATGTAAGTTGTTTTCTAGTTTGGTAGAATGGTTCAGCAGGACAGACTAAAGAGGAAAACATTTCCCCGTTTGTTGAGTTCCCATGGAAACCGAGTTTCCATGTTCTTAACTGTTCCCAAATACACTCATTCTGTCTGAATGAAGAAAACCCCCTGCTCTTATGACTGTGATGATTAACAAATGTGTCACAAGACACAAAGCACAAACACACTGAAAAAAATATCCTGCTGGTAAACAACTGTTGATCTGACCTATCAATATTTATAATTAGACAAGTATAGTCTAATGCTACTTTAGTTCAAAATAGGATCTCTGCAAAAAGCCTTAACTGTTTTCCAGTTTATTTTTTATTACTGCCTGTTTCCACCCTCTCTACACCATACAGTATTCGTTTTCCATAGAAACCCTCCTCAAGTTATTTTCATTCTCTCCAAACAATAAAATCAAATCAAAACCCAAATCCATACACCACCACAGCTTTGCATGTTTAGTATTGTGTGCATATTGAAAACAAATTCTAAGATGTTTATGTCCTCAGAATGTTTAGCAGTTTTACGACTATTGAAGTCAACCATCAATGTGTCCAACAGCAGGCAAACAGCATATGCGTACAATACATTTACTAAAATTATCGACATGTTTTTTTGTTTGTTTTGTTTTTTGAGGGGTTGTCAGAGATGTTTTACATGCAACTCTGACATTTAATTTGTTTCAGCTGTGGCAGCTACATACAAACAAAATTCCACAGAAAGGACAGAGTCTTAAAAATATTTTCAAATAAACATCTCCTTCCAAACGGAGTGTTTATCTTGGACAAATATGAATAAATCACACTGGCAGTTTTAAAGGGATATTTGAATGATAGTTTCGATTATCACAAACGTTTTACTTCTGTTAAGGGGCAGTCACAATCCATCAATGTCTAAGCAATATTGGATTATATTCTTGCACAGCTGTATAACGTATGATAGAAGAAGACTGTAATCACTTATTGAAAACCTAGACTTGCCTCTGGATGTTTTGAGGTAGACTCAACTACCAAATAAGAAACATTCAAGAAGCGTTGCTGATGGTGTGTTCTACTTAGCATCTCTTGCTCGAGGGCACTCTGAAGGGAAAAGGGTTTCTCTCTAAAATATTCATGGACATTCTGGACAAAGTTCGCTAAAACGTGCATTTGCAATGAGAAGGAACACCGAGGGAACAGACACTTCAGTACTTTGCCACTTTGGCACACACTCTGCTCAGCTCTGCAATATTTAGTCACTGTATTTTAATGTTGGTCCTTTTTATACGACCTGCGTAACTATTCTAAGTTGCATTCCGAAAGTAAAAGATTAATGGACCATTAAATACATTTCAATAATGCGGAATGGAAAATGGAGTGAAGTGTCTGCATAACGTGAGGTTTTATGCACAAAAAGTATAATTCGTAATTTTAATATATGACAAATTGCTTACGATGTCCCTTGTTTGTAAGAATCTTTGTATGAAAGTATAGCTTTTTTAGATTAATTGCCAAAATCAATATAGCTTCTTACTCTTATTATTTGCTTTGCTAAATCACAATTAGAACGCCTATCTAAGCTATTAATATGATTCTTCTGGTTATGTTTGAGTTGGCCCAGTGATGAAGCAGCCTGGAGCAGAAAAACATTTTTTTTAAATATTTTATTAAGGTTTATTTTTGAGTTGTTGTCAGTCAGGTCTCTAACTTTCTTCTACAAAACATCCTGCATCTGGCTTCAAAAGTGAACATTCCACATAGGCTGCACCTGATCTCAATGAAATCCTGCAGTGGGCCGAAGCTGCCTCCAGATCAGCCGTCCTCATACACGACTTGTCTGATGCATTTCAAGCTAATGACATAGAGCCCATACAACATGACAAAACCTGTTCTTAAAGACCAGCTCACAGTCTCTGCACCAATCTCCTTTCAGACAAATTGGCCAGGATGAAAGAACAACACCTGTAACCCAACCTAGCAAAGACAGGCCTCCTTGTCAACCCTTACATCCATAAAACATAACAACATCTCTATACAGATAAGCTTATTTAGTTTTCTTTGACCTTCTAGCAACTTTTCAGTGCAGACTTGTTATTCATCTAGAGGGCATAGAACCAAAGTTTTAGGTTTTTACAGATAAACCACTGTTTTTGTATATTCATTAAATAAATATGTTCTAAACATTTTAGTGTATTTCGAAAGCCCATGTTTTTATATATTGTAGAACTTCACACAAGTAACAGTTCTGTGATTCTGATCTGGGGTGCATTTCCCATACAACAATGTTACTCACTCACTGCTTAAATATCAAAGTACAATGCCACGTTGGTTCAACAATATAAGACTGAGTAATAACTTTTGCAAATTCATCAATTTGAGATCTCTGAGATGCTGTTTGGAAATGTCCATTTGAACTATGGTTTTTGGAAAAACCGAATACTATGCTGGTAACAGAAACTTGCGACCAGTTGGCTAACAATGCTCCTGGTTTGGCTTTGTTCCTCTATGCCGACATCTTATTTTGGGAACCTGCAAACAGGTATCTAACACCCAAACCACAACATATCCTAGTCTTCTCAGCAGGTGCAAAGCTCCAAAATCAGTGTGCACGCATTCATGTGAAGAGTGACAGAATGGTGGCAGGGGGAGGATTTAAGCACAACACCTGCAGCTTTTTCATGCTCCTGGCCAGACATTTTGGGAACATGGTCTGACCAGCTGTATGTCTGGCAGTGCATTCAAGTAATAAGTAACAAGCCAAAACAGAATGACAGTAGGATCAGCTCACACATGACAAAACAACCCAGAATGTTGTGACCAAACAGTACCACACCAAATCAATTTTTAACAAATGAATGTTGAAAATGTCTTTGTTGAAAAAAAAAAATGCGTTGTTTAATGGTGAATTTTCAAATGTACTAGGCCTATAAATAAATGTTATGTCACTGGTCTGCCGTGAGTTCTCTCGCTGCAGTGGCTGTGTTGGACGCCTTTTGCAGTGTGGCAGCTGTGACCATCATGTGTTTATGGTTGGCGCTTGATGTCCCCGCATTTATTCCCAATCTGTGGTGTGAGAGCTGCAAATCATTGCCGTTTGTTTCATGACTCCAGTAAGGACTGCTTGTTTGGACGTTTCATTTTTCCTTTCAGACTCATTGTGTTTGCGCTGTCTGGTGGACCGCACACACCAGTTATTATCACTCTGGACTATCCTGTTGAGCTGTCTGCTGTATGTACATTGTAAACATTTATTATATCACCTGATTTGCTTGTTTTGTTTAGATGTACCCTCATGCTTATGCTTGTTAAAATGCCTTCAGCACTATCTGAAAGCACTATATAAAGTGAACATTATTATAAGTAGTAGTAATGCTGCCTTCAAATGCACCTGGGAAATGTGTACCTTGTTATTACTAAACAAAATAATTATATTTTGAACAATAAACTCAAACAACTCTCTGAATTCAAAATGATGAAAAATGTACTTTTATCGCTTATTTATACATATAGGCTAACAACTAAATGTCTTTGTTACATAAAGCAAACTGTGAAAGTTGAGTGATTTACACCATTTACCACAGGCTTGCTTTGCAACTTGTATCACTTGCCTGTTTTGATGGGCTATGATGATAGGAACCTTTAGCTCATGTGAGCGTATGGCTTAGTACTGTTCATTTCTCTATGTGTAAAACTTTTTCAATAAGCAAAAGTTACTGAGTGTACCTTTGAGTAACAACCCGCCAACTAATCACGCCACATAACTGTTAAGTCGCTAGAGACCTCAATCTGAGTCGTTTACTCAAATAAATAGCTACTGTTGATAGACAAGTTTGAAATATATCAAATCCAAATACTTTCCTGTGCATTTACCAGAAAAGTCTAAACATCCTCATCTAACCTTTTCGTCATTGGCATTCCCCCTGGAGAAATATGAAACCACATTTCAAGTCTCATTATCAGAGTTTGGTCACATGATTCGCGTCCATGCGAGTGAAGCTGTACTGAAGGCTTGGAAGAGTTTGGGAGGAGATGCAGGGAACATCGCATAGGAGAGGATAATTCATAATAATGATCATATTTTAGCCATAGAAGACTCATGTAAGAAGAGGTAAATGGAACGCGAAATGGACTAAATGCGTTTTGAAATCATGAACGCCTGCAAGGTGAAATTATGCGCGTCACTTTTTATGTGGCTTGGAATAGTTACGTGGATTAGAAATGTGAAGTTGCATCTTTGGTTCGTATTTGTCCAGCAATCCACTGAACGGGACGTTGTATGTTCTGTTGCAAACGAGCAGGTAAATATTTCTAAAAGACACGCGCCAGTGAACGCAAGATTGCGCGATGGGAAAACTTTTAGTATTCTGGATAACGCGATCGAGCACCGGGTCTTCTGGAGCTCGTGGCTCGACGGTCTCTCCACTCGTGTTTTTGGCGTGGAGCACGAGAGGAAGTGGAGAGAGCAGGTTCGGGACGCTCGGGTGGTTGTGCTGGAAGCGGGCTGCGGCCGACCCACAAACCGCCTAGCGACCTTCGCCGACGGCACGAGAGCATGCGTGCGATACGGCATAGACGCGGATCAAGTGCTGGGAGAAACGCTCTCGTATTATCTAGCGGAACTGCTTGGGATTTCCAACCTTCCGCCCTTGGCGCTTTCCAAACTGAACCTGTCCAGTGAGCAGTGGGCAAGTGTGCGAGGAAATATCGAGGCGTTAGAGTGGTCGCCAAATGCCATTGTGTCTCTCACTGAGTTCATCCCAAATGTCACTGGAGTGTTTATTCCATTGCATTTGCGGAAACAGCAAGTAGGAGGTCTGCAACTCTCTGCTGAGAATATATCTAACATGACTGTAGCGTATCTGGTTGAGTTAATGCAATGGAGTGATCTAATCATATTTGATTATTTAACAGCCAACTTTGATCGAATTGTCAGTCACATTTTCAGTCTCCAGTGGGACGCGCGCGTGATGGAGAGGACCACTAATAACCTTCTCAAAACAATCAACGGACATTTGCTTTTTATTGATAACGAGGCAGGGCTTGTTCACGGATACAGAGTGCTTGACTTGTGGGAACGATATCACAGACTACTGCTGGCTTCGTCGTGTATTTTTCGCAGAAGTACAGTCCGGCGTGTTTCTGAGTTGAAGCGCTCCGGAAACAGCGCGAAGCTGCTGTGTGAACTGTACCGCGCGAGGGAACCGTTGGCGCGCGAGCTGGGCTCTCTGTCTGAAGAGCACGCGCTTACGTTGCAGAACAGGATTGATGTGGTTTACAAACACATTAAGCAGTGCGCAGAAATCATGTAGACATTTGCGAGCTCAGGTGGTTCTATTTGTAGGTGCTATAAATACGTTGCTGTCTGTAGTGTACTGTTATCGTGTCATTCCAATGTGAACTTATAATGCTTAGTAGAATTAATGAATAACGTGGCAGAATAGGGATATTAGCAAAAGGCTGCTATTCCCTGTTGAAAAAAACAGCATATGCTGGTTAGGTATGTTTTGACGCTGGGATGCTGGTTTAAACTGGTCCTTTGCTGGTTTAAGCTAGTCCTTTGCTGGTAAAAAGATCATAAGCCAGCTTAAGCTAATGTACTGGTTTCCCAGGCTGCTCTTTTGGCTGGTTTTAGAATAATTTGGGACACTTTTTGGGTCGGACTGGGAGACCAGTTTGGGCAGGCAGCAAGCTGGTTTAAGATGTTTTGTTTTCATGAGGGTCCAAACAAATTAATCAATAATAAAGAGTAAATGGACCTTACAGTCTAACACACTGTCTCATATCTGCATGTATCCTAAACTTTGGATATTTCATATAAATGTATTATATTTATTTATTCATCCCTAAACTGTTTAAATGAATGTCAAGTGTCGAGTGCTGTTGTTACACCTACCACACCCAGGTGAGTTATAACACAGAAAATGTACTAAATTTAAAATCTATCTGTTCATTTATTTGAGTGATTTTTCATAAATATCAGTCTACATTTTGTTCAAAGTTGTGCGATATTTGTAGGTCCAATGGAGTTAAATTTCAAAGAAGTGTTACAGCCCTCCCCATATGTTCAGCCATGATGCTTCTCATTTCTATAACATGTAGATGAGATCATTTTAGCATTGGTTGAATGTGAATAGGCTTGACAGAATGATGTATGACTGTTCAATGCAGCTTATTATGAATGCTGAGACAGCAATGCGTTTCGGTACTATTCCATCATCTTTATCAGTAATATTGATCTCCATGATTGATATATACTCTACAAAACCCTTCCTGAAAAACAATTACATGCATTATTTTCCTAGTTCAGAATTATGCTTTATTACTGTATTTGCCCACATTTTTATTGGTGGAGTAGTGTCAGAAAACAAAATCAACTTGTTTGCAAAAAATTGCAAATCTAATATTTATTATTAAATCTGTCAATTATGTTTGGTTTCATAAATCAGATGTGATGGAGGCAGGGTGGACTGTCATTAAATATTAAAGTGAAATTTTAGAGCACCTTTTCATCAGAGCACGACTTTGTGGCATCTCGTCAAAAGTTGCAGAAATGCTCATTTAAAATGCAATATACAGCTTTAGTCATGTGGAAGAAACACCATTTTGTGAGAATTGGGAGGACTTGATTGCAACAAATATGGTAGAACAGAGGGCTCCATTCCTGCATTTCCCTACAGAATCTCAGTCCTTTCATGGCCTGTGTTGAGGGGGATTTGGTTTCAAAGGCATTTGCAGCTTTCATCAACATCACTCATAGCCTCTTTAAGCTATTTTATCTTGACTGCTTTGGGATCAGGAACACTAACAACAAAGTGAGCTTTTTAAATAATTTTCTATGCCACATATCTTTTAAATATTTCATGTTGGTATGACTTGGAGTCCTATGGCTTATATACAGTAGAGGGAGCAGCAGAAGTGATTAAGTGGAGGTCAGAGGTTAAGCAGAGGGGAATGTTCATACCAGATCAGCCACCTGCCCAATCAGTCACTTTCCATGTCAAACACAGCTCACAACCACAGCTAAATATGTTTACTCTTACAGTTTGCAGATCATAAACTCTATCAGTAAGTCTACTTTACTGAAACTCCAACTGTAGGATGCTGGTGTTGTGTTTAACATACATAACAAGCTTTTGAATTCATTGGTTTGTTTAAAAAAATAGTTTTTTTGTTAAAAAAATAAAAACAATAATTTTGTAAATGTACGCTACTGTTTGAAAGTTTAGGGTTAGAACTAAATACTTTTATTCAACAAGGGTGCATTAAATTGATCAAAAGTGTGATCAAAGACGTGCTATTACAAAAGATTTCTATTTCAAATAAATGCTGTTCTTCTGAACTTTCTATTCATCAAAGAATCCTGAAAAAACAAATCCCATGGTTTAAACAAAAATGTTAAGCAGCACAACAGTGTTTTCAACATAGATAATAATAATAAATGTTTATTTTGCACCAAATCAACATATAACACTGAAGACTAGGATAATGGCCACTGAAAATTCAGCTTTTCATCACAGGAATAAATTACATTTAAAAATATTTTCAAATAAAAAAAAATATATATATATTTTTTATTTGCATTAATGTCTCACAATATATCCAAAGTTCTGTCATGAAACTCTTGTCCGATAGGGCAAACTCAATCTGACATAATGACATCATTATAACATGGCACAGCTTATTGGTTCTTTTTGTATCAGCAGCCAATGAGCCATTCCACCAAAAACCCAAAGACCAAACACATTAGCATTGTCATATACATTATACCATGCCAACCCCTCTAGAGTTGTCATGATAGAAATATTGTTTTTACTGTATTTTTTATCAAATAAATGAAACCTTGTTAAGTCTAAGAAATTTCTTTCAAACACATTAAAGTATCTACTAACCTCAAACTTTTGTTTTCCCAACTCTAAACCTGAAGCTCAAAAAGTTGAGCCAAAAGTAAGTTCTTTATTTTTAAGCAAGGCTATAGGCATTAGGTAATGGCCTCAGAGACAATGCCTTATTCTATTTTTCAAAGGTCTGTGGTGTTTGTGCTGTAGCTTTTTATTTTACAGTGATATATGGAGCAGTTTGTAGACTATATGGGCTTTTTAACATTTTCCAAACTTCAACAAAAATGAGACCAATTCCCTGTTGCGAAGGTATCAAAGTATGGTTAAAATATTAACCCATTTCCCCCCTCTATGGAACACAAATAATTTACTCAGCCTCCACACGAAAGGCTTTCCCCTCTCTGTGCGCCACTAACACTGATGGAACCAAATAGAATCCATCTATAATAATGACAAATACATGGAGCCGAGTGGAAGTGTGGATCACCATCTATCAGAACAGACGTGGGAGTTGCAGAATGGCGAAGTGGGCGTAAGCATGAACTTAGAGAGAATTTAATGACTCTGTTTTTCAGACATTTCCCAACCTTGGCGCATGAATGTGTTGTGCATTAGTGGAAAGCTGTACATAAAATGTATTTTTCTTCATTATTTTGCCAGTAAAAAGTATTTTTGCGTCTCTTGCCTGTTAAGGATTTCGAGAGAAATATGTGCTCATGAATGCACTGTTTGTTGTAGTAAATCTACTCATGCACACAAACACATGTACACACATGCAATTCATGAGTTGCTATGGAAGAACAGAGGCGAGGCCAAAGCACTCCGTAGCAGACTGGCAGTAATTGGCATTTCTCCCTCTCTCTCCCCAGGCCCTATTTTGCTACCACACTGAGGAAAACGGAAGAGCCATAAAAATAAATAGGAGAATGGCACACAGCGCGTTCCCTCCCCTGTGTTTCCCTCTACTGATCTCAAAGCACACTGAGCACAGAGGAAAAATGTCTCTTTCACGAGCCCCTACCAGCCCCAAGACAGCACTTCCTACTACATCCTAATGGCTCAGAAAAGATGAAGTCATCCCTTTTGTCAAAAGTAAAGTAATGGCCTCATCCACATAGTCTCACTCACAAAGCTCTATACATAAGCCCTGGTCCTCTTTCATAATACATTCTAACTATAAAGAGGGATTTCATTTGTATATTGAAAGATATACACACACACACACACACACACACACACACACAGACACACACACATATATATATATATATATATATATATACACACACACACACACACACACACACACATATATTTCAAAAGCATGAAACATTTTTAAAGACTCCAAACTTTAGAATGTAAATTGTAAAATAAAAGTGTATTCTGCTCACTAAGGCTGCATTTTTTAATTAATTAATTGAATGTATAAAATTGTAATATCATTACAATTTAAAATAACAGTTTTCTATTTTAATATGTTTTAAAATGTATTTTATACCTTTGATGGCAAAGCTGAATTTTCAGCAGGAATTGCTCGATTTTTCAATGTAACATGATTCTTCAGAAATCATTCTAATTGATTTGAGGCTGAAGAAACATTTCTTATTATTATCAATGTTGAAAGCAATTGTGCAGATTAATAATTTTGCGGAAACTGTGATATATTAAAGAATCCTGAAAATATATATATTAATTTTATATTTATTAAAAAAAAGGTATTAAATTTACATCTATAATTTGTGTGTGTGTGTGTGTGTGTGTGTTTTCAGGATTTTTTTTTTTTTTTGATGAATAGGAAGTATTCAAAAGATTATATTTGTTTGAAATGTAATGTCTGATTTTTAAGCACTACTTAATACACATAAACAAGTTAACAATTTTTAGAATTTTTTTTCTTTTAAATTTATGTATAAACATATTTATTTCATTTAAGCCCCCCAGAAAATCAGTTGTTGTGTGATCTCTCTTCACATTTGCTAAAAAGTGCCTGAAGTAGCAATATGATGTTATTCATCCTCTATAATAATAATAATAATAATAACAATAAAAAAATTTGAAATTTTCTCAAAACATAATTAATCACACACAAATATGCATAAACATGTCCAACTGTCACCCACTGAAAAATAAACAAAAATCAACTGAAATATTATGACTGTAACTAACATCAATATTAACCCATGCCAACATATAAAAACACACACAAACAGACAAAATGTGCAGATTCAGCCACCAGGTGGCGGTCTGTTGTAACAAAGTGGACTCTTGCTGCAGACTACCATTTGTGTACCACGCTTGACAGAAAGTAAACAAAAAACAAAGAGGTTTTGGAAGTTTTTAATATTTGTGCATTTTAATGATGAAATATAAAAATAGATCATATGATTCTATCAAACAGTGCACAATATTTTGGGAATGTTAATCCCATAACATAATTTCTCATTTTGTGTCTCCCACGTCCCCTTCTTCTCCCAGTACCCCCTTGCACCTTGCTCTCAGGAATCTCCAGACAAGGGAATGCCTCAGTAATTCCCTCAGGAGTGCTGGTACTTCCTGCCTTCCATTAAATGCCTTAGAGCACCAGGTGATGCAAATATTTTGTTTTCCCTGCAGTCTATA